GGGGGTGGGCCCAGGGGGGCTGGGAGGGGCCCGGCGTGTGCGCTGGGCTCTGCGGGGTGCGCTGGGAGAGGGGCCTCGGTCTTGGTGGCAGAGCGGTGGGCTTGAGGGTCCGGGGAGCCCCTTCCCCCACCCCGAGGGCTCGCCTGGGGGTTCGTCTGTCGCCTTCCTTAGGCCTCGGTGTCCGTGCTAGGGGCACCAATGAGGTCTTTGTAGAGGCTCATTTGGAGCAGGAGAGAAGCTAGAAGTGCATGGCAGTGTCCGAGGTTTCACGCTCTTTTTATTAAAAAAACCCCAACAACCCACAAAACAAACAGCATTTTACTTGTGAAAACTGCGAAGGTGTTGTAGATGGTATCAGGTGTGCGCACCGGGAAGACGGAGAAGGAAGGGCATTTCTTTGTAATGGGACATTATTTATAAACACCATATTGAAACTGTTAATGGAAGTGGCAACCTAGGGCAGGGGTTACGAAAATACGATAACCAGTTTGTGCAGGGGAATTATGTTGATGTGTATATTCGAACGTAGAAGCTTAAGTCTCTCCGATGCCTTGATTGTTATTTTATGATAATTTGTGCTGTGACCTGGTCGAATATGCAGATGAGGACATCAGGCAATTTGGCAGAAGGCGGCTAGATCACTTGATAATTCAAGTGTAAATAAACTTCAAATACAGCCAGAAAATGAGAGAGTTGAAAATACTGAGAGAGAGGACAAAACCTGAAAAGAAAGCATGTAACTGAGAACAACTTGGATACGGCCTTGCTGATTAGATTTCATGATCCTTCCTCTCTCTCTGAGCTGTCTGATTTGCTGGGATCTGTTCGGTTGGTTTAATGACGATGGTGAAAACTTGACCTCCAAGGGGTTGCCCTTTCTAAAATAAGCAGAATGGCTTAGGTTGAGAGGCCCCAAGAAACTGATCCAGATCATCCTGTTCATTGAGAATAACTGGAACTTTCCTGGCCACTGGATGCATTTCTATCTCTCCATACTTGCTGAGCTGTTTGCATTGCAGGGTTTTGCAGGATGCATGTGTCAGGTTGATTTGCAACCTTCAATAAGGGCTAAATCAGGCGCTATACACCAACCTAACCTTGCTGATTGACTATTCTTTGCCATTATTCAAAGTTGTAAATATTTTACGATTGTGCTTCAGGCCTTTATATGCTGCAGCAGTGCAAATAATAAATATTTAGTGTGGCTTGTCCACCTGGACTGTGGTGTCCTTTACCCTGTTGCACGTATTTTGCCAGGCAGAAAATCTGCTGTATTGTAACACTTTTTAAAATGTGCTAAAAGGCTGAATTATACTTGCTTTGATGTTGCAGCACAGTTTTGAGAGCGGAGGCTGGAAGGTACTTGTTGGTGAATGGACTGCTGACTGTGTTGAGAAAGTAATTCTTTTAAGGCAGCATTTCTGTTAAAAGACTTGGACTCCTGACTATTGGTCTTACCTTTGTTGAAATGACCGAAGACAAACAGAAAAAAAGTTAGATGTGTAATAATGTGCTTTTCTTAGTGTTTGTGACTGTTGATGGTGAGAATTTTGCAATGTGCAGGATGTATGGAACTTTACTTTTTTTAAAGTAAATAAAGAACCAGCAAGGTACAGGCTATCTTTCGTATTTAAGCTCAGTATGAGGTAACACATGCTAACATGCTTTGAACCTTCTTTTATATTTTTAATTCTGTGAGGATCTCTTTCTTCGAACTGAAATACTGTGGGAAGAGTATTGTTTTAAAGGCACAAGGATGTCATAAAATTGGAAAATATCACCAGTAGTACCCAGAAACTCAGTCGCTACTGGGAGCTTGTTTACTCGGACATAGTTAGGATCTTCTGTTTTGTGCATTTTCTGAGAATTTTTTTGAAGCATAAAGTGTCTTTCTGTCTCTGCTTAGGACTGGCAGCCTCCATTTGCATGTGAAGTACAAAGT